TTGATTATTCCGTTTTATATGAATTTCATGTTGTACGAGTCTTAGATTTTACAAATACGTGTGCCGGGCTGTGAACGGCTCACGTATTTGTAAAATCTAAGTGACTCGTACAACATGGAATTCATATAAAACGGAAAAATCAACAGTATTATATGGGGGTCGACTAAGAAACGGGCCTACAAAATTTTTTGAAAGTTCGGCTGTCTATCCGTTAGTAATAATGAAATAAAAAAAGTAAAAAAAAGAAAAAAAAAAAAAAAAGTAAAAAATGAAGGAGCGAGATAAAAATAAAAAAAAAAAACAGTCAAAAATCTTCTTTCCTGTTTGATTGACGATCTCGGCATATTTGAAAAATTGACTTTAAAGAAATAATTTAAAGAATGAAAAAATTAATGGAAGAAAAGATTTCTCAAATTTGAATAATTGTTCTTTTTCTCACGAATTAATTTTTTCCGCTATTGTTTTCTTTTCCCTATTTCTTTTATTATTTATTTGTCCTCAAGCTTTCCCTCCCTTTAAATACATTTTTGTTAACAGCTGATATCACGTGGTCTTATATATATATATATATATAACCCCGTGATATTTGAATAAATTTAAAAATTATATATATTTCTAACAATACATTTACTTACTCGATTCTTAATTACTATATTCTAGAAGATATTACTTAACTCTTAATTGCTGAATCCTTAATTACTGTTGTATGCCAACATATCTTGGGGGTACTTTTATGAAAAGTTAAAATAATTAAAACTTTTATTCATCCGAACGTAACTCGATGTATGATTTCTGTAAAATAAAGTAAAAGATAATATAATAATAATATAAAAATAAAACAAAATAAAATCAAACCTGGAGGATGAAGAAAAAGAAGAAGAAAGGGGGAGGAGGGAAGAAGAATTCAAAAGGAAAACATAGCATACTTTCCATTTAATCTTTTTCTTCTTCAACACTTGGTCTTTTATGTGACACCCAGAAAATAAATGCGGTCTAAATCATTGTTTTTAAGGCCGGATTATAGTAATACTTCTTTAAACTTTCAGGAAGGGGATGCTAAAAGTTGAATAAAATCGAGAAAAATTCTGCTCTTGGTAATCTTTATAAAATTCCATCACGTGATCACTCATCAATTCTATCTCCTCTCGGTTATCTTATTTTATTNTAATAATAATAACAAACAATAATTAATATAATAATGTTCTCTTAGGAATATTTGTTAATGGTTTCAATAAATGTGAACGAGTAATATTCTCCTGGTCAATCTGATCCGTAAATAAATAAATATATATATGTATATGGATATATAGGTATATACATATATATATATAACTATATATGTATACATATATACATAAAGAATCTCAAAACGACATTCCTATCATAGCCACAAAGGGTGTTTGTTGCACCGCATCTGTAATGTCATGTATAGCCTGTGTAGAATATGTTTATATAATGTGTAGAATATGTTGCTGTGCATTATTACACTTACAAGTTCATTCCCTACGATTCATGATCATGCAATCATAGTACTGTTAATCCATAACAATCTTAGTAGAGGTTATGTCCCCTACTAGAACGAAATGTAGAGAAGAATAAAAGCGAAAAAATCGTTGGACGACTGAGATCTATCATCGGTATGCCAATAGAATCGGTGTTGAAATAAATCATGTAAGGCTTGTATAGCGGGCATCTGTCCGAAGAATGAGGAACCAACATGCTTTTCCATCTGCAAAGAATTTTTTATCCCCCCCCTCTCTCTCAAAATTTGAATAGTCGAGTAGTCGTATAAAGAGCTATATCAAGTTAACCGTTACATACGAGCTTACAAGGAAATAAATCTCATTTTCATGCTTGGGAAAAAATTACTAATTGCTGGATAACTTAGTCAAAGAAAAAAACGAAGTTCATTCTGTTCCTTTTAAAAAAAAGAAGTAGACTAAAATTCGATGGAAATNGGCCAGAGTATCCCCATAATTGTCACAAATTCCTTGTAAATTGATGTTTCATTGTAAGTTATTCAATTCTCATTTATTTACATATATGTATATTAAAAAACATCATAAAAATCACCTTCTAACAGAAAACATCATTAAGATCAAGAGAAAAAAAAAACAAATGTAATTCATTCTTAGTATACTTTGGCCAAATTCCTAATTGATGAAAAATAAGAAACTTTGGATCCATGTTTGTACTGTTTGCCGAAATTTTTATGCTAAGGGAAGTTAAAAAAAAACTGTACTGTGCATTATAAAAATGAATAAACGTCTTTTATATTATTTTGAGAGAAAAGATGTAACAAAAAAAAAAGAATAATAATAATAATAACAACAACAACAACAACATAATGTGACGCAACAAAGACGTTGTTTAGCCTACTGTAGTTACGTTTTATGTCCTCTGCGTGGTCTATATGTGATACTTAGATATATCATTTTGATTTTTTGGTTTAATTAGGTTTTTTGTAGGAAGAGAGAGGGAGAGATAAATATAAGACCGTCTAGATAAAAAAAAAAAAGCTCGCACAAACACCAAACATGTAGTTGCTGAATGTCGAAGGCTATATTACATGAAAACCAATAAACAGACAAAATTCGTTTGTGTGTATTTAATGTGATATCTAGATCTGTTGTATTTAAGGCAAGAAAACCATGTATTCATAGGCTAGAAATGGTAAGTCAAATTGTAGCTCTTGTAAAATAGATTGCCAAACTATGTCTTATCTATACCAAAGCCTTTAAAAAATAATATAAAGAAAATGGTTACAGCTTAGTATATAATCCAATAGTTACATAGAAGAAATAGTTCTAAGGTCCTACAGTATATAGTTTAAACTCGTGCTATATTGTAGCATAACGAACTGGGTATCTGTTTGGATGACAGATCATCTAGTTTTATATAATTACAGTCATAAAAAATGAGCTATTATTTTGGCAATATTTAAAAAACATCAAAGTACATTAAATGTACATTAAACAATCATAAAAACAGCTCCATGCAGCCTGTGAATACAGTTGTACATTAATTAGTATAAAAATATTTTCTACAGATGCTATACAACAAAAATGTTAAATATATAAAAAAAATAAATAAAGGTATGTTCCTTTTTAAAAATTAACTAACTAATTAAGTAAAACTGTGTTTTTTTGGAATTTTTATTGTCATTTCATTTGGTCCGTTCTGTACGGAGATGATATAAGAATGTAGTTATTATGTTTTTTTTCTTTTTATCTTTTTGTTTTTGTGAGGGGAAAAAATCACGAATATGTCATTTGCTCATGGTAGGGAGTGAAGTTATGCTGACAAATTGGAGAAGTGCTAATTTCGGTGAGATAAGATTAATAAAGAGAGGTTGAGATGCACGAAAATCTTCACGCCTGCCACTTATTATGGCAGAAGCAGCTGCCATATTTTTCTAACCCAGACGTCAGGTCATGTGTCCACTTAGGTCTCCATTCCGAATGACCAAGCACCTGTCAGAGCAATATCTTTGTAATTCTAGTTTGTTGTGACCTCACTGTGTGGTTTATGACGTCAATATATTAATTAAAGAATAAAAAAAAAACCAAAGTAGCATGTGCACAGAATGGTCTTGTATTGGTGATCCTGTTTTTATATAGAAGTTCTCATGTAAATAATAATAATAATAACAAACAATAATTAATATAATAATGTTCTCTTAGGAATATTTGTTAATGGTTTCAATAAATGTGAACGAGTAATATTCTCCTGGTCAATCTGATCCGTTATGACAACAGGTATATGCAATACTTTTTTTTTGTTGTTTTATTGACTTCCTAACAGATCAAAACTGTAATTTATGTATTTAAAAAACACGTGTTTATTTATCAGTACTGCTAACCTGTTGTCGGTTTACCGGGATTAACAGCCTGATATATGTTGTAAAGAGTATTATGTACTTTTGTTTTTTATGCATTCCACTCAATCCAGCTTTAATCCCATTTTATATCAAATTAATGGACTATTATGCTGTTTCTGTCAGCAAAAAAAAAGAACTCATAATTCCTATTGATTCATCACATCTAATGAAAGAAGACAAACACTTAAAATCAATAAAACAAAAGTTCAACATATCAGTTTAAACATAAATATATTATTTGTAAAAAAAAAAGAAAAAAGTTTTAAGTTCTGTAAATTGTACTTACAATTATTTCTCTCCCGCTGAAGATTCTTTATATTACAAAGTGATGGATACTCTGTTTAATTAAGAGCTATGTTCTAATTAACTTAAGATCTTGTCATGCAGTCAGGCTCGCACATTAGCAGTGGCTGATTATGTCTGAAATATAATAAAGTTTAGGACTATATATATATACGAAGACTTGTGATTTGTTTAGATTACTACAGTACATACACTTTCATTTTTCTTGATGAACTTTTATCATCTAAATTATTACAGATTATATACAGATATTTAACTAATTCCATATTATTTATAAAGCATAAAAAAATGTTAAGAAATTATCAGAATTATTTAATAATTAACACTAAAATGTTACGCTATTTAGATGCGACGTTTTATTATTTCGATTAAAAAAACAAATATATATATATTAAGACAAGGAAGGAGTCAGTTTTTTTCTGAATAATCTACTTTGTTGACATTGTTAATATAATATGTAAACTATAATAAATTACCTGTGATTATCTAATAATACTCATATATCTTTATTTCTAGTTGAAGATGATAAACAAAGTGAAGTAAATGAAAATTAATCTTAAATATTTAACATCGTGACATAATTTCGCTTTTATTTTAAAGTTATGATCAGAAATACGTAAGAAAAAATACATGACGAATCGCTGGACATAAATGTACTACAGTATATTCAATNAATTTTCTAAGAGTATAATATATTATACGAGGGGTGTTCAAAAAGTATCGAACCTTTGGTCGGCAAAAATACATTTATTGATTTTGAGATACAAAACCCTAATCCTCTTCAAAGTAGTCTCCTTAGTAATGTATACACTTCTCCCAGCGCTCCTGCCATTGCTGGAAACACTGCTGGAACGCATCTTTTGGAATGGCAATCGGCCGGTCCATCGGATTCCGCATGATGTCTTTCTCTTGACTCAAATCGGGTTCCTTTTAGCGGCATTTGGCATTTTCAGCTTGGGAAATAGCCAAAACTCACACGGAGCCATGTTGGGAGAGTACGGAGCGTGACGAACCACGGGAATGTTGTGTTTGGCGACGAAAGTCTGAATCAGCGGACACGAATTTCGCGGACATTCTCTTCATACCCAAATCCTCGGTCAAAATTTAATGTACTGTACCGATCCAATGCTTACTCCTATCTCGTTCGCAAGTTCTCTGACTGATGCGATGGTCCACCATGACCAAATTCCGCACTTGCTCAATGACAGTCTCATTTTGGCTTTTGAGGGTCTGCCTGAACGCGGTTCGCTGTCCACTGATGTACGGCCATCTTTGAAGCGGTTGTACCATTCCTTTATCCGTGTGTTGGCATCGTCCCAGAAAGCCTTTTGAATCTTTCCACATCTCCACCGAAGGAGACCTCCCGCGCGTCATTGGTTTACGCGGGAAAAATAAAGGCCTGATACTTTTTGAACACCCCTCGTAAATATTTATAGTTTATAACAGATTACTATAATTTCTATAATATTTGTTTGTATACGGCAATGCGACACGTGGACGATCTACCGAGGGGGATGTTTCCAGAGAGGATTTTCTATGGGAAACTGGCCCTATTTAGGAGTTTTGACGTTCTATTATGTTTATAATGCATCTGAAGAATTTATGATAATATTTACAAAATTTTTTACGCATCATTCTAGTGTAACAATCCTGATTTCTATTTCAGAGTAAAGTATTCAAATTATTCATTAATATTAATCCGTCATGGCCATTTTTTTTTTATTTTTTCAACTTCTAATCAGTAGAAGATACAATGTCCAAATTGCACTATGATACTCTCGAGTCTTGAAGAATGGGAAAAAAGAATTTCCAATAATTATTATATATGGATTCAATTGTCAAATAAGCAATAAAAATGAATATTGCTTCTGTTTAATCTGTGTAAAAAATCATTAGTCAAACTTCGTTAAAAACTTTGTTTCTGATATATAAACTATATGGCTTTTTATAAAGTTTATCTTGAAAATTAGAATTTTAGTTCATTTTCGCATCAAAAAATTATCACTCAAATAATGTTTATGAATATTATTCAGTTATTAAAATAATTTATTGTGTTTAAAATTAATTTTAATTGTGTGAATTTTAAGATAACTGGAATATTTTAATTTACAGATCGACAAGACGAGAAAAATATCGAGAAATGCCAAGATTTCTAGGAAAAGATTATTTTAAAGAAGTAACAAGTTACATTTTAAATTCTATTTTTCGAAACGTTAACTAAATATACTTAATTCAGATNATTATTTAAAAGGTATTTGCTGTTACAATTGCAGATTCGATATTATTGATATAGTAATAATAAAATGCAATCTGCTATTTATGAATATCTTTTCAGCTTAAATCACGCACACAATACCCATCAAAATGAACAAAAAAACAATGTGATATTCTCTATAGATTTTGAAAGGTAGATTTTTAAAGCAAATATAATAAATCATTTATGCATATACTCTTTATTCTGTATAGATTTACCTGTTTATGTATATCTATTCTTTAAATAAAGAACATATTCTTCAATTAATATTGAATAATATGTTGCTGTAAAATTTATTAAATATTCAATTTTGGCATAGAAAATTATATATTATTTTATTGACACCGCATAGTAAAAATTAAAACTTAACGTTCTTCAATATATGACTGAACAATTGAATGTATAATTCAAACTGTAAAGGAATAAATCTTATATATCAAAACTGACGAATAGGCTCATATTTTACTCTTGTATATTAAAGCACGAGAATATTTATAATCAAATGTTGATATCTTTTTCTTTTTAAAGTTTATTCAAAAATAAATTATCATCACAAGTTTCAGTGCCACTCTTTGACGATAGAATAATGATATACAATTTATGAAGAAACAGCTGCAGTTCAAATATTAAAATGAAATGAGATATACAAGATTTTGTACCATAAGTTTACAGAATATAAAGAAGCAATTCGTCTTATACTTGATATAATTTATAATGGTAAATATTCTTAAGAAATTTCAAATGTCATGTACCTTGTATACTGCAATATAAAATTCGACAGTAGTTTATATAAACTTAAATAAAGAATAATTATCATTCTAAATCAATTGAAAATTAATTTTATTTAATTTATAGAATGTTTTATACAGGTAATATCATTCAATATAAATTAAGTGTTGTTTCCAAAATCCTCTCAGATTATATTAATAATTGCAATTGGTGATAATGATTTACCACTTCAAAAAAATTGTTAGCAAACAGAAAAACCGTATTTCCAATTATATAAATCCGTATCAATGCATTATATTTAGTCATTTATTATTCATTACATTTAATACATCATAAATTTCTAATATTTCAATAAAACAGATATATAAAAAGCCACTTGTAGTTACAAATCTCTGGAGACGAGAAATTTTATCGTCAGTGGTGACTTTTCTGTGCAAAATATTTGTAATAATAAAAATGAATTAGTACTGCAATTTGTAATAATCTTTTATCACGTTCTATATAGCTAATTGGGACCTCCTGCCCATAATCTTTTTATATTTCTTTTTATATCTCTCGTTTACATGTAACTAACACCGTTTTCGAAATCAACGAAGGACAGACTGACAGACGGACAGACGGACGATAGTGTGAATATACAGATCTTCAATTTTGAAAATTGCAGACCAATCATTTACAAATTATACAAAATTCGCATGTTTATGAGATTGATTATAACAAAATATAGTGATAAAATTAAATTTAAATTTCATCTAAAATATTATAAGAATGATACACAATACATATATAAATAGGAGAATAAAACCCGAGATTAGAAGAAAAATCTTTCAAAAAAGCTAATTAATAATGACAATTATTGCTCTCTCTTTTTCATCTTCTTTAGAATTGATGTCGAATGTGTGACAAAAAGAACCGTTTAAGTTATTGAATGAAATGACAAGCATTTTAAAAATAGTTCGAATTGAATGAATGAGATGAGAATCATTAAATAGATGTTCTGTGAAGTAGAATAGAAAAATATCAAAAATCACAAGTATAAAAATTTGTCCAACAAATTTGTAAACCATTACAAAAATTATGAATTTAAATCATCTTGAGTAGATTTTATCAGAAAATAAATTATGTAATTATTTATAGTGGATGTAATACTTAAAAATTCACGAAGTAAACAATATCAGAGAGTAAATCATAAGTATAAAATTGTATTATTTGTAAAACGAAGTATTCGTATGGCTTACTGAGGAATGGAAGCAAAATATATTCATTTAGATGTATCTGGTGACTTGAAATATAAATATAAAAAAAAAAAAATTAATATTTAATGTTATGTATATTCTATGTGCAAATTATGAGGATTCTATCAATCATTATAGAATTCGTTTGGTTTTCAAGTATGAATGAAGTATGTAGAGAGAGTATTTATACATACATGGCGTCAAATTTTAAAATTAGATAATAAATTAAATGTCATATAACTTAATTGACAGTTTAAAAATTATTAGTGTTACATTAATCAATTTATTCATTTCTTTAAAACATTTAAATAATTATAATAAGTATTCTGTTACAATCACTTTTACCGGTAACTTTAAGTTAAATAATTAAATAATAATTAATAAACAAGAGAATGAAAATCCGTTTATAATTCATTAACACGTGCCATAAAATATATTAATCGAGTTCTTGAATCATGAATAAAAATTAAAAAAGGATGATCGGCAGTGAAATAATTAGTCAATGGCTGACCAATTCTCACACCAGCAGCTATTCCAGAAACGCTAGCAGCTTCAACACCCTGTTCGTTTACGTCTAAAACAGCATTGTGAACAACAGTAGTGGCGTAAATGCCTTCTTTCTTACTTATCCCGGTCAGATCAGCTTCAGATGGATCGAATAAGGACTGAATTCCCATCTTACGAAGTTGTTCAGTCAGTTCATATTTATTATTCAGTTTAAAACGTGGTAGTGTCACGTGAACAGCTTTTTTTCTCAAAATTGATGATATATTACTTAGAACACTAGCAGAAATAGATCCTTCTAAATCTTTCAATCCGTCACGCTCGAAAGGTAATAGTATAATCATAGCAAGTTCTTCACCATCGTAAGGTAATTCTAATGCTGAAACTTTTAAGTCTTGATCTATACCAAATAATAGTTTAGTCTTCAGTCTCATCATGGGTACAGTTTTCGGAATGTGACCATTGTTGTAAAAAGTATCTGGAGTTGTTATTCTTTGATCAAATTTCGTTTTCCATACTCCTTTAAAATAAACTGCATTTAAAAGAAAAAGCGCTGTTAACGAACTCAATGGTTCACTGATTAATTCTTCGACTTTGTTTTGTGTCTTCCATGCTGTCCACGCGTTAATCATTTTAACAACAATTTCGCCTTCTCGAGCGAAATCCACTTCTTGAACTGTTGCATTATAAAATTCTTCTATATCAGATTTGTAATTCGACAAAACAGGAAAGTCTTTTTGTAACAATACAGCATTTGCTGTTACTAGATCATGTTTGGAATTATTATTATTCGTATTCTTTAATAGAGTTTGAAAGGTACGATGAACATTTTTCGATTCCATTCTCAAATGTTCGTAGCCCAAAACCTTAGCCATTTCTTTTTCAGTTTGGTTTCTTGCACCGTAATACAACATAGCTAAAGCTGTACATAAACTCAAAGGCGATATTAATAAGTTCCCTGTTTCAGGAAGATACCAATGCAACGTAAAAGCAAAATTGTTAATTGAACTTATTAATTTTAAATAGTTTTCTTTATCTGATATTTCTTCTGGAGTTTCCGTTGGAAACTGAATTTCGGATGATATGCAGTTTATTAAACTTATTAAAGTTGTAAATATAGTTGTAAGCTTCATCCTAGAAATTACACAAAAAAAAAATCAATTTATTTTTAAATTAGAATGAAGATGTTAAAAATATATAAAAGAATCAAAGTCAAGTTTATTTTTATTCTAAAACGAAAGCTTAAATGCAAGAGGGTTTGCAAAATAAGTTAAAAGATCAATACTAATATATTGATCTTTTAACTTACTTTGCAAACTATCACACAGACGTAGTTAGAAAGTCAAGAATGTAAAATAGTAACAATTATTAACTATTGTGAAGAATCAATATAACACTACCAATAGCAACAAACATGCGGTTTTACTTTAAATACTATTCTAAATTGAAAAATACAGGGATATAAAATAAATTAAATTCTGAAAGAAAAGTTGTTATAAATTTTTAATTTAAATATTCAACTGTTATCATTTCATAATTGAGAGTTTAATGTTAAGTAATTAATAAATAACGTTTAATAATTTTATACTAATAAATAATTTGAAATTTAGAAACAGTGATTAAACTTAAACAAATATATAATAATGTAGTAAAAGGTTAATTAAATATTTGAAATGATAATTGATAAATAAAGTTACATTCTTAAATGGAAATTCTTAAGTGCGTTTGCAAACTTACCTGCTACTGACCTGTGTTTGAAAGGACTAAGATGTTCATTTAAACAGGTAGAACCGGTTTCAATAGATGAAAGCCGTCTCGAAACAATTTTTAATCGAACTTGAACCCCCCAAAAAAAACGAACAGGGGGAAAAATCAAGTTTGTCTTCTTTCCATTTAAATAATCTTTAAAATTGAGCGAACAACAACCTGTATTATTAACACTGTTGTGTGATATAAAATAAAATATATTTTAAAATATTGATTTAAGCAAAAGGTCGAATATTATATATTAATAAAGTAAAAACATAAAAATACAACGCGACGGCACCGGCTAGACTCTCTCTTAGGATATACAGTAAAACCTGTCCTACACTATACCTAAATAAAACGGAACCTGCCTAAATGGAAAAAGTATTTGGTACCGTGCGATTCCGGTTTACGCAGGTTTTACTGTATATAATTTCAAATTTTGTGAATTTAATGATATATTAAGTTAAATTTCAGAATTGATGGCCGTTGAAACTTAAACTTATCTAAATTATTGGCAAAATGCTGATTTATGCTTTTTGTGTATTTAAAAATTACTCATCATAAACTAAAGGCTCAGATATAGCTGTAAAAATTGTTTAATGGTTGTCGAAGAAAAGACAAACTTAATTTAGAAATATCTTTATACAGTACTTTAAATTTGTCAAACTATGAGTAAAATGCTTATTTTATTTATTTTTAAAGGCACTCTTATATATTCAGTCCAACCCATAATGATATAGAAAAAGGATCTCTTAGTGGTCGCAGTGACCCGTCAGAAAAGATAAAATACTAATAATAAATGTTGAAGTATGTCAAAATCTTTTCCTATTACAGTATCTTCATTTTGAACATAATATATTTTGCTATTAGAATTTTTTATAAAACAGTATTTTATTCATCTTTAAATATCAACAGTAGTCTTTTATTAACTTCACATAAACAATACACAAAAATTTTACCTTTAATAAATTAATGTAAATATTTTATAAACTGTTATAAATAAAATTACTGAAGAACACTTAATATATTTAGCTTGGATATATCGCACATGAATTTAAAGAAGAATATAATAATTTAGTGTAAAAAGAATTCATGAAATATGTTAAAACAAAAATAAATTTCATTGGTTACAAACGGAAACAACTACGTCTAGCTGACAAATCTCATAGCTATATAGTTCAGCACTAACAAATTTTTCTAATAGTTATTAAATCAAACTAGAAACAGGTAGTGATATTAGCTCAGGTGATGCCATTGTCCTTATATTCCCCATGCATTTAAATCAGAAGGTCTTTGTGAATTGCATACACTCTTCAAAAATGAAATTGCAATACCGCGAAGGAATGTGTGTAGCTACATACACATTGCAGGATCGGTAGAAGTGACGGACAAATAATTAAAAGAACAAAGATATGCAATAGACATCTGTTTATTTAGTAAGGAATCCGGTTCCAACGGGCAACTATAGAGATCGCTATACGGCGAGGCATACTATCAATGAGGCGATTATTAATGGCTGCCTGAGGTATGCCATTAATAATCCACTGCAGCATACATTTCACCTACGGTATACGGCAGTGGTCTCTGGTGCACCTCACGTCAGACGAGGTCTCACAGGTATTCGATGGGAGAGAGATCCGGCGAGGCTGCAGGCCAAGGAAAAATGCCAATTCGGTTCAGGCTGAAGAGTTCGCCGTGCGACGTGTAGCAGCTAGACAATACCTGACCACGCATGGTCTTTCAGCTAGACTCTAGCTGAAAGACCGCGTCGGGTGCAGCCTGCACCAGTGACCGAACCACAGGCACCACAATTCGTGTGACGTACTGGTCCACTGTCAGAGTACAGGAAATGTACAATACACTATGACTGTCCTCTGATCGAACACGATGCCTCTCCGAACCATGATGCCAGGATGGCCAAGCGGTCAAGGTGTCAGCCTACAGCTCTGGGGCCCGGAATCGAATCTCTATGGGTCGAAAAGCCCCAAGAATTTTTCTGGTGGTGGCCCGTCCGGATACGTCGGAACCCGTCCCTCGCCAGCCGGCTGCTCTATTTTGAGCATGGCCGAGCATATAATGGACTTGCTAAAAGAGACCCTCTTAGTGCCCACGGCGGAAAGAGTTTTAGAAAAGGGGGATGAGGTGCGTCAAATGCATGTCTTGCCCCGAGCGGCATAAACTCTAGCGCCGGCACTGCTTATTTATATAATGCAGGTGTATAACGTGCGGCTAGAGATCCAGATGGCACAACGCGCTGATTGGTCAGCTGAATGACGTCAACCCACCGAAATAGGAAATGCTGGACGATTATATTTTGTGGTCGTCAGAACGAAGTCACGCAGAAATAGATTATTTTTTTAGTTGTAATATTGAGTGAGTATAAAGTGAAATTACAGTATAAAGTTTAGCTCGCACGTTTTCTTAAATTTATAGGAATAATTTTAAAATGGTTTACTTTTACTTAATAAATTACCTACGATTATTTATTTTTTTGAACGAATTTTAACTTAACTTCATACTTGATCTTTATGTACCTCTGAACCAAATCATACACAATAGATCATTTTAATAGTGCGATTAGTGTTTTAAATTTACGTGCACAGATAATAAATAACAGAAAATTTATACTTTGTTACAGATATTATTCATAAAAAGTTCGAGAAAGGATGAAATTTATAATTAAGATAAGTCAGAATATTCTTTGAATTTGTCA